ACCAACTGCACGGGCTTCCCTGGTGGCGCAGTGGTCGGGAGTCCGCCTGCCGATGCAGGGGACACGGGTTCGTGCCCCGGTCCGGGAAGATCCCACATGCCGCGGAGCGGCTGGGCCCGTGCGCCATGGCCGCTGAGCCTGCGCGTCCGGAGCCTGTGCTCCGCAACGGGAGAGGCCACAGCAGTGAGAGGCCCACGTACCGCAAAAAAACAAACAAACAAACAAAAACCACAACTGCATATTGATCAATACTCACCAGCAATGAACAATCCAAAAATTAAGTTAAGAAAACACCTCCACTGACAGCAGTGCCAAAAAGAGAGGGGCCCTGTGTGGGGTCACTGACCTCCCTCTCTGACACCTCAGGGCGCTGCCCCGGTGTACACTCTGCTGGGACAGAAATGAATGAATGAGCGAATGAACAAACGAACGAAGGAACCTCTAGAGACCCAGCAGCCACAGCCACTGCCCTTGGCATCTAAAATTCGGGGTTTGGTTTTTCCGCCCGTCCACCCACCCCGGAGGCAGTCTGGGTGGGTGACCCGGGCTCCTGATTCCAGCTGTGCTGCGGTGGGGGGGACAGGGCGGAGGGCCACAGACTGGCAGAGGAAGGGACGGTGGCTCTGGGGTCAGGGAGAGTTCGCAGGCGGGCTGTGGTGCTGAGCTGAGCCTCTGTCTTGACGAGGCGGCAGGCCTCCCGCTCCAGGTGGCAGCGCCCCTCTGGGAACACAGGTCCTGGCAAGCCTGCAGCTGCCTCTTTCTCTCCAGAAATGCAGCTGTAGGGAAGGCCCACAACCTCTCCATGAGCATCCAAGGACACCTGAGGCCTGGCGGGGTCCGGGGGCTGTGACAGGGATACCCACCCACCCTTCCTGAGGGCCTGCAGGACGGAACACGGACTGGGAAGGACCTGGGGGCAGCGAGACAGAAAGAAAGGGCCAGGGTCCCAGCACCTGTGCCTAGCCAGCCCCGAGAGAGGCCCCCCACTCAAGACACCCAAGGAAGGCGCCAGGCACCCCGAGCTGCCACAGGATGACACCCACCAGGCCCGCGCACGGCCCGTGAGCCCAGCAATCTCAGAGGCGCAGCGGGAAGAGCCGGGAGGGGGCTCTGAGCCAGCCTCTCCGCCGGGCGCCCTGCTGGGCCTCCACAGCCTGCAGAGGGCATGGCCACCCAGAGCCTGGAAGTGCGGAGGAGGGCTGACCGCCAGGCGGGGGCTCGGCGGGGGCCTGCCCGCTGCACACTCTGGGTTCCTCGTCCCCAGGCGATCAGGATGAGGGCCCAGGGTCCCCAGGTGAGGGTGATGGGGGCCAGGCCCCTTGGGAGAGCTATCTGGCAGCGGCTCCCCCACCAAGCCTGGGCCCTGCAGTGTGTCCCCCGCCTAGAGAAGAGTTTCCATCTGTCCTTACGCCCTACACACCAGAGCCACAAGGGGACTTCCAGGCAGGGCAGCACCCGGTGGAGCCCCAAGGTGGCCGGCCTGGCAGAGACAGGTGCCAGCAAGGGCCGCGGGGCCAGAGGCGCGGGCTGGGGGTGCTTCACCACTAGAGTGCGCCGGGCAGGGGCCTCAGCCGGCGCGCACAGGGACGGTGTCTGGTGCGCAGTCCTCCCAGGACGGCCGCCCCCCGATCGGCAGGCCGGAGGCCAGTGAACACTCCACATTTTTGGCAGCTGAAGGGCCCGGTTGGAACAGTCGCTGCTTTATTCTGCAGAAGCCACAGGCTTTGCATCCCCGGGCCCCAAAGGGGCTGGGGGTGGATTCCAGCCGGCCATGGGGCTGTGGGGGCCGCAGGGTGACGGCCAGCTCCTGCCCGCTGCTGACACCCCCAAGGCCAGGCTGGGCCCCGGCCTCCACCCCAGGGGTGACCCAGGGCTCCTCCCTCAGTGTAGCCGTGACTGACCTGAGGTCCACAGCCCCAGGGACATAGGGATGGGCTCTGAGCAAACAGGCTGCTGCCCACTTTAGGGGCGCTCAGGGGCCCAGAAAAGACTCAGACCCCAGCCCTGCCTCCCAGGGTCCCAGGCTGGTGAGGAGAAAGACCCAGGAAGGAGCCGTGAGCAGAGCAGGTGGCCTGAGGCCTGGAGGGGGCTCAGCCCTGCAGGGCGGTAGGGAAGCCTCCTGGCCCGTCATCTGCTCTGCAGGCTCTGCTCAGGTGAAGCTCTGTCTCACGGCCTCGCAGCAGGTGGGTGAGGAAGGAGGCTCTCAGCCCCTCCCGTTAGGGAAGCACCAGGAGGGGGGCCCAGTGGGCTGCTCCCCTGGCCTGAGGACCAGCTCCTCCCTTGCCCCTCCTCCGTGTAGAGGGCTCCACGGCTCCTTCTGGAGGGTCTGCTCTGGGCCAAGCCCTTCCCTTCACCGCAGAGACCAGCACGGCCGTCCAGCCAAGAGTGGGGAAGTGACCTGCCAAGGTCACATGGCAAGGTCGCCCAAGGTCCCATGGTGAAGCATCCAAGGTCACACGGCAAGGTCGCCCAAGATCACCTGGTGAGACACCGAGGGTCACACTGCCAGGTGGTCCCAGGCAGGGAAGAGCCCAGCAGAGCCTGTTCCCACACTCCACCTCCAGCTGCCCCCCACGAGTGCCCGGGAAGGGTCTGAAGACAGACCTCTTGATAAATAGCCCTCCCCAGCCTGGGGGCGCTCAGGGCATTCACTCTGCTTCCCAGGCCAGGGGCCCCACGGGACGACGGCTGTCCACCGAGCCCCAGAAACACTGGCTCCTCCACCTGCGCTGCCCCGCCCAGTCTGCGCCCCAAGACTCAGCAGCAGTTTGTACCCCACGGAATGAACAGAGCTGGCGAGGCCTGGGTGGGGGGTCATGAGGCCTGCAGAGAGCACAGAGGAGAGGCCGGGGGTACCTGCCAGCCAGGCAGGGCCCAAGGCCCACCCCAGGTTTCATACTTCATTCTCAGAGAGGACGGGGGTGGAGAAGGACGGGGTGCCACTTCTTTGGAGGGCAGGGGGCTGGGGTGGCATAGAGGTGGGCGCGCTAGAAAGTGCGGGTGACAGGTGGCCGTGGAGGGTCTGGGACACGTCCCCGAGTTGCGGGCACGGCCCTGCACTCGTGGTTTTGTTGGGGCTGCCACAGACAGCCCTGTGTCCACAGCATCCTCCCAGCTCTCCAACTCAGCCCCACGCAGGCATCCCCCGACTTCCTGCCCACCTCCGGCAGGGCCACAGGAGGAACCTTGCAGGAGGCTCCAGGCATCGTGTGCACAGCCTGGGCAGACAGCTCTGACAGGCCCCCCAAATGAAGTCCAACTCCCCGCTGCACAATGTCACTCCTGGACCCCCCCCCATAAGCTCTCTGCCCCCAGCCCTTCTTGGGCTCTGCTTTGGGGGCCCAGGTTAAGGCTCCACCCAGCACCCCACTGTATAGCCACATCTTTGAATGGCACCCCGATTCCTCAGAGGAACCTCTCCTCCCCACTATCTAGTGCTTCCAGTGGAATTCCACCCACACAGACATGGGACAAGGGAGCCGAACCAGCCGAGGGGGCCACCTGAACCCCTCAGTGGTTGATGGGGCGCAAGTAGGCTCGCCTGGGGCCCTCAGGGGTCCTCGGACTGGACGGGTGCCGGGCAGACACCAGAGCTGAGGCCGCAGGGCCTTCTGCCATCATCTGGGAACGGGGAGCTGGCCCGAGACCCACCGTTCTGTGTGACCCAGTGACAGCCCCCCCACCGACATCCTCCAGCACCACCGCCAAGGCCCTCCTCCCCTTCTGGGACATTCCTCCTCCCCAAAAGCACACCAGGCCTTTCTGCGCCATCGCTTTAATGGACAGACCATTCATCAGGTGGCTTTGCACAAAGAAAGAAAAACTGAGCAGCGTTCGTTCTCAGCATCTCCCGGGGCGTAATACACAGACCACGCGCTTACACGCCTAGCGTCAGACACGCATCCGCAGCACAGCGTCGAGCGGGCGCAGCCCCAGGCCGCCAGCCACGGGGCTGGAGGCAGCGGGCACCCCTCGCAGCACCTGCACAGGGGGCGCTCCCCTGCGGGGGGCCGGGGCCACGCCACCGGCGCCCACCCCCACCCCCACGCGCTCTCGCTGAAAGGCGTCACGCTGCAGCCAAGGCCACACCCTGCCGATGCGCTGAAGGTGCTCCTTTACAGAATCTCCATGAACAGGTGAACCCCGGGGACACTATCACCAGAGATGATCCCACGGCAACAAAGGAATCCTGACAGTCTCAGGAGCCCTGAGGCAATGAGGACAGGAGCAGTAGGCCACGGGCGACGTAAGGCTGACCGTGTCCACCGGTACACGCGCAGACATCGCGGTCAACGCACTCTGTGGGGTCAGGTCTTCCTCGTCCACTCGGCGTCTGAGGGGATGCACGGCTCCGCCTCCGCGAGGCCACGTGCACCAGCAGGACAGCTCCTTTGGCCGGTTCCCGTAGCTTCTGGAATCCCCGGGGCAGGCCTGGGATCACCGGCCAGCCCAGGACGCTGTCATCTCCCAGTCATCACCCGGGAGCTCCAGCACCCGGGCCACGGGCCATGGGCCACGTGACAGACAGGGCATGGACTCGGCTACGCAACTAGAAAAACGTGGCCACAAATGCTTTTCACATGTATGCATTTTGTTGGTGGGTTTGTTTTTTTCCTTTTGGTTCAAAAAAAAACATGGCAGGCTCTCAGGTATATAAAACTGGTAATATTAGACAAAAATACAAACTTCACCTTTACAAAAAAACAAAATCAAAAAAACAACACGCACACATAATTTCTGTTGAATACACGTAAAGCGTAACATCTTACCAAAAATAAAGAGTTTAGGTTCTGTCCAAACACCAGCGGCAGCAGCAGGGAGCAACCCTGGGCAGCCACTCCGGAAAGCCACATCCCCAGGCCTGGCCGCAGCAGGTGGGAGGGACTCAGGGCAAGAGGCTTGGGGACGGCATGTGATTGGTTCACGCAGTTCTCTCGAAATGGCTTAAATTAAAAAGTGAGTAAAGTGGGGCAAGGAAGAAACACGTGAAGGCAGAAACATTTAGGAAATGATGCATAGGTGGGTATACCATGTTTATTTTAATACATCTCATTTGTTTGCATCCTGCTAGGAAAGGTACCGTCCCACCGTCCTGACTGTTACTGCAGCCTGGTGTTATCGGTGTAAATGTCATCCAAGAGATAATTAAAAAAAAAAAAAAAAAAAAAAGCTAGGCAAAGAGTAGAAAGGAAAGCTTAATAATCACTTTATGGTGTAAAAAAAAATCCACTTAAGGCTCTCAGGAAGGTTTCTGTATAGACTTAAACACTACAGCAAGGAGATGTGGTTTCCGAGACATTCCTGGCTCCTGCGTGCCCCTGCAGAGCCCGGCGGCATCCGATCGCAGCCTTCAGAAAGCAGGCTCTGTGTCCTTGGCCAAAGCACCTGTGACCACCCTGGAAAGAGATCCAGTCTGCCGAGACGTCTGTCACTTCCATCCCTCGGGGCGTCCCTCCATTCCGGCAAATGTTTAGATATTTTTGTGAGTGAGTTTTGTTTGTCATGTTTCGTGGTTTTGTTTGCTCTCTTTTTTTTGACAAGGAAGCTTCTTATTGTTTCACCGAGTGCTACAATACTTGCTTTGATGTCACATAAACAACGTATACTGTCTCTTTGTTCTCCAGAGTGTGCATGGAGACAGTTTTCACGGAGGAGAACAAAGACCACGCTGGCAATAAGCACCGTACATAGTAGGTTCAGGAATGTAACACGCCATGTACATCCGTGTCCCGGAAAAGGGCTGCTGGCTGATCCTCACCTCACATCTGCAGGCAGAGGGGAGAGACAGACGCTGAGAGGCCACGAGCACACACACCGCTGAGTGACGTCGATTGTGTGAAACATTTAAGCCAATCAGGGGTGTGCACGCACGCACATGCGCGCGCACACGCGCGCACACACACACACACACACACACACACACACACGCCTCGTGGCAAGTCGTAGGATTCAGAGCTTTTATTAAAATTTTCAAATCAAATATGCCTCATTACCCTTTCTGTAACATCCTGACCAGAATTGGGACTAGGCTCTTGGGATCTCACAGTACACAGCTTCATAGCTAACCCCATTCTCCCATTGTACAGATAGGGAAAACTGAGGCCCAGAAAGGTTCTTATGCCTGTCTCCTCACCTTCTTCTTTCTTCCAGCCTACAGCTTGATGTGATTTCTGGAGATCCTGCAGCCATCTTGGGCCATGAGGCAACCCTGAGGATGGATGCCACCAGCAAGACAGAGGGGTCTCTGTGACCAGGCAGAGCTACACTGAGCTGAGCTAAGAGCAGCTCTTCCCCACCCTACGTCGCCTGTCTGTTGCTCATCCCAACACTTGTACCACCACATGCCCACAGCCTGAACGCTAGCAGGGAGGCAGGGACGCCTGCCCCTCCCTTTGGGGTATCAATCATCAGCTAGCCCCTGGAGGCTAAGCCCAGTGGTCATAAACTTGGCAGCACAGGCAGGTATAAAACCAGCCCCTGCACCACACCCTGGGGACCCAAAAGCCAAGGCTGAGCAGTCGTTTTGGGGCTGCTTCAAGATCTGTCCACGTGGACCTTTCCTCCCCAGAGGATCCTCCTGAACGGACGTGACCTGCGGGACTCAGAAACTCCTGACCTCGCAGCGTTCTGCAGTCACACATCACTCAGCTGGAGCCTGGGCTCCCGGGCACCTGTCTCCAAGAATTCCTCTCACAACTATTTGTTTTGGATGCCATGGGCTCCCACATGCCCAGAAGAAAGGACCAGGCTCTGCAGAGCCAGACAGGCCAACACGAAGGACCAGGAAGGCTTAAAACTGCCTCCTCCGTGGTTGCCCACAACCACTTTCTCCTGGGGAGCCCCTCTGAAAGACCACCTTTCCCAGGCCCCCTTACAGCAGAGAGGTGGCCAATGAGATCAAAGCAAAAGTCACTGGGTCCTTTCACCATTGTCCCCAGTCCCCACCATAATCTTTCTTCCAGGCCTGGAGTGTAACGTGATTTCTGGAGCTTTGGCAGCCATCTCGGGCCATGAGGCAACTCTGAGGATAGACACCACTAGTCCTGGAAAGAAGTGGGTCCCTGATGATACCCTGAGACTGCCATACATGCTCTGGTCTCCCTACTTTATCTCAACCCTTGTTTCTGGCATGTTATTAGCAGCCAAACACAACTGCCAACACAGTAGCCAACAGCCCTGTACGTTTACAAAGCATTTTCAGACAGGATCTACTCAGCCTTCAACAATCTTCATCTGTAATCCCTCTAAGCCTCAGTTTTTTCATCTGTCAAAGGAGGTGGGTAACCTGTCCGAGGTGATCCCAGCGAGTAAACGTCAGAGCTACCCCACTGCTGCTCAGGGAACCCAGATCACTCCGCTTGTGTGATGCCTTTGCCTCCCCAATCAACAAGGACCAAAGCCAGAGCAGGGGCCCCGGAGCAGGAGGGAGCCATGGGCCAGGTGTCCCGAGCAGCGGGAGGGGAGGGGTTGGGGATGGGAATGCGGAGACCCGCAGCCCAGCCAGACAGCAGAAGCTCGCAGACGGATCAAGGCCAATCAGGGCGCGTCCTCGCCTTCGGGGTGATTCGCTGAGTGATCAGTCACTGCGCCTCCCACCCCAGGACTGCGGCATGGCCGGCGGCCGGCTCCTACCTGGTGGACCGCGTTAGGTGGGTTTTAACCTTTTTCTTTTCCGTTTTTTACCTGACTCCCTACGCCTTCCTGTTGACAGAAGGGCAGGGAGGGTGAGAGGGCCTAAGGGAGGGCTGTGGGGTGGAAACTGAAGCCGTAAATACCTGGGGTGTTTGTCTTTCTGTAAAACAACTCGATGGCGCTGGCACGGAGACACTTCCTGGTCCCCTCAAGCTGGCCCAACACGGCGGTCATGACGCCGGGCTGCTCTGGGCAAAGGCTGCCCCGGGGGAGGCCAGGACCCTGACTGGCAACGCCACGGCCAGCGCCCACCACCCGCCGGGGTCAGGGCCCTTCCTCGGCCACATCTCACCCGCTCCCCCCACCAGCTGGGTGGGTGACTGGACCCGCAGAGTGGCCAGACCTCCCTCCCTCCCCATCAGGTCCCAGGCCACAAGTGCAGCTTAGTAAACGGGCCTTGGCTACAGCCCCCGATCCCGCCTCCCCCCACCCACCCATCCACCCACCGAGCCCGCCGGACGCGGCCACAGAAGCCAGGCTCCGGACCCTCCGCTGCAGCAGCAGGACGGCGCCCCTTACCCGCCTCCTCTTCCCGGTGGCCGGGGCTCGGGCTGACGCTCGCGCACGTGCATTCCAGGTGCTCCTCCAGCCGCACCTGCACCTCTTTTAACTTTGGCTTCTTCCTGACGTACTCCACCTTGGCCACCTGCCAAGACAGCGGCCCGCTATGGACAAGCGCACGCGGCCCCGGGAGTGGGGAGGTGCCGGGCCCCACCCGGGGTGCGAGCAGCCCGACTGCTGACCTCTGAGCTCCTCCCAGTGGGAAAAGCAGGGCTATCGGGGAGAAAACAACAAGCTTCGGTGCAGCATTTGCGGTTTGGTCCCATGTTTTGTTTAATATTTATTTATTTATTTGGCTGCGCCCGCGTCTTAGCTACAGCATGCAGGATCTTTTAGTTGCAGCATGTGGGCTCTTAGTTGCGGCACGTGGGATCTAGTTCCCTGACCAGGGATCGAACCCAGGCCCCCTGCATTGGGAGCATAGAGTCTTAGCTACTGGACCACCAGGGAAGTCCCTGGTCCTATTTTAACTTAAAATAAACCTAAAGGGCTCACACACGCCAGGAGAAGGCCCGAAGGGATGCACTCAAGGTGGGAGCTCTGGGTGAAGGAAGGTGTTTGCGCCCACGTTTTAGGGACATCTGGGACAATGTGTGCTTGCCTATCAGCAGCTGAGGAACAGGGCTACTGCTCGTGGTCTGCGGCTCGGGTGTCACCCTCCCTCCTGTCCACCCCGCACGCAGCCCTCAGGGCTCACAGGGAGGCTGTCGGTCTGGATGCAGATTCTGGCCTGTCATAGACTCCAGACGAGAACCCTTCGGCCACCCAACGTGGGGCCGGGCCCAGCCCTGCAGTCTTGCCCGGGTCCCAGTTCCCGGGATGGCCCTCAGGGACACCCACTCCATCCCTCGCTGTTCTCCCGGGGAGACAGGCAGGAAGGGAGCAGAGCCCACCCAGCATTCACCCTGGGCACGTGGAGGCCCCAGGGGAGCCTGGCTCGTGGTCCAGAGCTGGCTAACGTGAACGGGACCCCGGGCCACGAGCAGAAGCCCCCAGCCCAGGGACAGTCCTTCACAAAGGGCCTGGAGGCCAGAAGATGGGGGACCCCCGTCCAGGCCCGGCGTGGCCACGTGGCTACACCTTCTGGGCACCTCCCCTGGTTTCCTCTGCGGGGAAGGTACGAGGACCCAGGGCCCCAGGCACGGGGGCGGGCTTGCCACCCACAAGACAGACCGGCCATGGGACCAGTGCACGGTCCGGCGGCGCTGTCCCCCGTGGGCCCCTTGGTGAAGGGCACACGACACCAGCTGCTCAGGTCTTAAGAGAAAAATCTTGTTTTTCTTATCAAAGAAAAACAAACAGGAATTTATGGTGGCACCTGCTTCTGGGTATGCAAGGATTCCAGGCCGGTCTGGCACCTCTGTCTGGCCAGGAAATGGCTACATTTTTTCCCCCAAGAACACGCTGTGAGCATTAAATTCTCAAAAGCGTCCTGCACAATAGCCAAGGCCACAGATCAAGATGCTGACACCCTTGGGACCCCATCCCATTGCCTCGGGCCCCAGACCCATACTGGAGCCTATTGGGGCCCCACATCCCTCCCCTCCTTCCCGCTGTTTGTCTTGGGAGCCTGGGCTGCACCTGAAAAACCTGACATTCAGATTCCCCACGACGGAGCTGCTGTGTCATGAACACCCCACCCGCATGTTCCAGGAGCAGACCCACAGGAGACGCCATCCAACAATGCCGTCACCCTTCTGAGCATGGCCTTGAGTTCCTGCCGCTCACTGGCCCCCCGAGCTGGGCTGCTATGAGGCAGGACGCCCCCAGGAGGGCCAGGGAGAGCCACGCCCTGCAGGGGACACCCCAGATTATCAGAGTGCCATCCAGAATAAACACCAGCATCTGCTGAACCCCACGTGCCAGGTCTACGACACTCACAGCTACCCTGAGAGGGCACAGCAGCGGCTCGTTTTACAGACGGGGAAACTGGGGCAGCATGAACAGGGCTTGTTTCGCCGGAAGGAGGCCTGGACTTGGAACCGGCAGAGGCCCTGGGCTCACCGCTTAGCCGGGGGGACACCCTGAGTCTACTGGGTGAGGGCTCCGGGGCTCCACGGCCGACTCCTGGGGTCACGGCCGACAGACCTCAACCTGGCTCACAGGCAGGTGGTCCTCCTCCAGGCCCGGCTTAGGGGCCACAATGGCACAGAGAAAGCGACCCAGCTCCAGGGCCTGAGGCCGATGGGCAGGGCCCCAGAGGCATGCCCACCTTCCAAGGTGCTGGCCTCCCTGACGGCTAGGGCTCCCCCCCGGGCAAGGGTAGGGCATCCCTACCCACCAGAGGGGAGGGACTCAGGGGCCCTTTACCTGAGACTCACTGCCGCTGCCACTGCTTTCCCCCCAAGCCCCAAACCAGCTCCCCAAACAGCAATGGCTAACGGGGCCCCGCTGGGACCTCCCACCCAAAGCGACCCCCAGTCCAATACTGGGCGCAGAGACCCATTACTGGACATCCCAGGTGGACACGCCAGACCCACTTTCCAGAAGCCTGAGGTCTAGCAAAGCAGAGCTGCAGACAACCACCCTGGGCATGACCACAGAGCTGGGTCCAAGCTTCTGGAGGCCTGGCCCATGGGCTGCCCTGAAAGCAAATGCAGCCCCACACTTCCACCGTGTGAGAGTCCGGAGGCTCGCCCGTAGGTGGGGACATGGCTACTCAGAGCTGCTCCTTCACCCCGAGCCACTGCCAGCCCATCCCGGGGTCTGCACTGCGGGGAAGACACCAAGCGCTGACCACATTGAGCAGAGGGCAAGGAAGTCGGCCCCCGGGACCCCTGCCCACCTGGCAACGCTGGAGGGTCTGCAGGGGTGCCGGGGCCCGCTCCAGATGCCACCCCGAGGGCAGGCCCTGGAGGTCCAAGGCCGCCATCGAGCTGTGGGCACAAAAAGCCTCATGGAGGTCACGGTGGGGAGCTGGGGGGCGGCCATCGACCCCAGCATGTCCTGACCCAGGGCCTGGGGGCTGCCTTCAGCTGAGGACACCTTGCGCCATTCGGCCACCTGGGCCTCAGGAGAGCAACCACTCCCGACCTCACCGTTACCTCCCTTCAATAAGGGGCGCCTCTGACCGTGCACGACCCGGAGGGCGTCATCCCTACCGACCCCCAGCAGCCATCACACCGCACCCAGCCTGGGGTTCCCAGGGGCCCCCTCCCTGCTCAGCCTCAACCCCGAATGGAACAGGAAGGGCTCCTGGACAGGCTGGGGGGCCAGGCCAGCCCCCACAAGGGGCCTCCTGTTCCCACTGGCCTCTGTCTCCTCTCTGCCAGAACCCCCAGTGTCTGGGGCTGGATGTTTTCCTGCCAACCTTCGGATGGGTTGGCAGGGAGGGGATGCCTTCCCTGAAGAAGGAGACGGAGGAAGGGGACCGGGTCTGAGGGGGGCAGGGCCCCCGACGTGGAGCCAGGCTGCCTGGCCCCTGGCTGCAGAACTGAGCCCTCTGGGCAGACGGAGGCCCATGGGGGAGCCCCGGGCCTGTGCCCAAGCAGAGATGGACCACCCATCCTCACCCACTGTGCCGCTAGGATCCCCGAGGAGCTCTGCACACCCACCCGCCCTCAGGGTAGACCAGAGCAGAGAGGCGGGGTTAATGCCCATCCCAGGACCAGACACGCCCTGGTCCTCACACTGCGGGAAGCCGGGGTGGGAGCAGTGGGGGATCCCCAAAGGCTAGAGCCCCCAAGCAGAGAGCCCCACTCCCTTCCCGCTCCCCTGTGCCTCCAAGCCCCTGTCTCACGCCCTAAGGACAGGCCCCAGAGCCCACCTGCAGGACAATCTAATCTTGGGCACCCCACCCCCATGCCCAAGAGAGAAAGACCTCAGTTACCCAGCTTCTTGGGGCTCATAAGACCCCTCCAACACGCCACAAGCGAGGACCCGCAGACCCAAGGAAGCAGAGGCGGGCTGGCCGGGCTGGCGGCAGAGACCCCACAGGCAGGGCGGTTAGACCTCAGTTCCCTCCTTTAACTGAGGAAGAGGCAGCAGCGGGGGAAGCGGGGATGCAGTGCTGGGCTGGGGGCCCTACTGCCCGAGTCTGGAGCCCTGAGGCAGAAGCCGGCGCCCCAGGCAAGCACTCCAGGGGCAACTCGGCCCCAAGGGGAGCGTCTGCCTGAGACCGTGGGGCAGCAGGCCGCAGAATTTGCTTACTCAACACCCAAAGCACGCAGAGGACCAAGTCCCCAAGGTCAAGTGAAGTCCCAGTTACAAGTCTAAAGTGCTTCTCACGTGCCAGCTACAGGGTCCTTAACCCCGCACCTCACTCAGGGGCCAGCGGCCGGCTTGACAGGCCTAGACTCACTGACTCACAGGGGATCTGAAATCATTCCTAGCGGAGAAATGAATTCTACTGCACCCCACAAGCGAAGGCCTCATTCCGGGAAAGATGGACCCCCTGCCACTGTAGGCCCAGCTGAGAGGGGGCGGGGCTGCTCCTTGTGGAAGGTGCCAAGTCCACGCCCCCAGGGTCACGTGGAATCATGACCCACCCAGAGCCAGCTTCCGGCGGGGGGGCGGGGGGGCGGGGGGACAGCCCCTCCTCTAGACAGGAACCACCCCCAGAATTCTCCAGCCTCAGCCACACTTCGGAGAAGCCAGGAGACAGTCTAGAAGCCTCCCTCCAACCCTGCCCGTTGGAAAAGAGAAAGACTGACACCCAGAAGCAGGGAACCTTGCCTCCAAATAGCAAGGCCAGCTGCCCCCACGGGAGTTCCACAGTCCCAGAGCCTGAGTCCCAGCGCCTCAGACCCATTCCACACGGGAGGCCAGTGCAGCCAGAGGGGAGCAGGCCAAGGCCGGGAAAGGCTTCCAGCCACCGGGCCAAAAGCCAGGCCCCAGTTTGGCTGCCCAGTGACCCGAGGAAGCAGAATCTTCCCCAGGACTCAGCGGAGGAGCTCCTGGACGTGTCATGTGAGCCTGACCTTTGTGCATGCCCCCGGTGCTGCCCTCAGAGGTCATCACGGCCAGCCCCCTGCCTGGGAGAGGGCTTCATGGCAAGCACTGGCCATGTGCTGGCTCTCAGGGGCCCCAGGAGGGCGGCGAGGACATCCAACCCAAGCCATGGGGCCTGTGGGTCTCCAAGCAAGAGTACACCCCCCGCAACAGGGGTGCGGCCTGGCCCCCAGCACCTCAGCACCCCCAGAAGGACCCTTCTGGCTAGCACTCCACTGACACACACATCCAGTGGAACGGGGGCACCCTCCCAGATTTCAGACGGGGACGGAGGTCCAGCATGGCAGGCAGAGCGCCTGGCCCCTCGCCTGAGCCCCCCCGACCCCCAGCCTCCCCCGCCACCAGGTCCCACCCCAGCACTCCCTTCCTGTCTCCAGCAGGGTGAGGCCCTGAGGGGACCACCAGCCCCTTGCCGTGCACCATAGCCCCCACTAAAGTGCCCGTGAGACCTCTCCAGGGCCTGGAGGAGACGTCAGGCAGCTCCCAGCTAAGTGGCTGGACACCTCGCAAGACCCGTTAGTGAGGCAAACAACTGCGTCACGAGATCCAAACTTGCTTCGCGTGACCGACCATGACCCAAGCCCCGGCTCCACCCCCCTGCCTCGGTGTGCCCGTCAGAGAAACGGGAGCATCCTCCGGCTCACCAGCATGCCCGGCCGCCCAGCTGGGTGGGGCTACCCCTGGGGCCGGGGGACACGCCAAGCTCACCTTGACACTCCGGTGGTGGACGCGGGATGGTTGGCACTTGACACTGCTGGTGTTGCAGCAGCCGGTACAGCGCTTCACCTCCACGCACGGGGGCCAGATCAGAAAGTTGGCAGACGTGGGGTCCACCTGGCTCCGAGGTATCTCATAAATGACCGTCCTGGTCTTGCAGACTGCGGGGATGGCTTCCTCTGCAGAGGCAAGAGCCCGGTGAATGTTCTGGAAGCCCCAGGGCTGCGGCAGCTCCCAGGCGCCCAGGCAGGAGCATCCCCATGGGCCACAGCTTCCTCCAACAGGGCCTGTCACACAGCCCCCGGTCCAGCAGAGGCAGACAGACCCCAGGCCCCAACGGGTGCACCTGACTGGCCCAGAGATGAGCAGGGGCTTGAGGGCCAGGAGGGGAGACCCTGGGGAAGGGGGCTGTGGGGAGCCCACCCTGGGGGCGGAGGGCTGAAAATCCCCCAACACCCCGGGGGCTCACACAACCCCTGCAGCCAGCACGGAGCAGGGACAGCCGCCTTCACCCCAGTGCCAGGGGGCAGGGGGGCGGGGGGGGGGGGGCGGTGTCTCAGATGCCCCCACCATGTACATCCTCAGTGGCCTCCAGGGACGAGCCACCGAGTCAAGAGGGCTGGGTGCTGGGGGGGAAGGGGCTCCACACACAGCGCCCACCGGCTAGAGGGGCCTGGGGAGTCCAGCCAGGCAGGGCCAGAGGTGGAGCCAGGGCCAGGGACCTTCATCCAGCCCTAGCTCTGCTCACAGGCACTCCTTTCACCTGCAGCAGAACAGGCCTCCATCGAGGATCCTGCAGCCCTACCAGAGCACCTGGCCTTGGAGACGGGAATATACGTTCACAGCGGCAAACGCCATCCGGGGAGGGCCCGCTGGCCTCAGCTAGGGATCATTTACCCACACACCACGCCCAAAGGTAAAAGCTATAAAATCCATATTCTTGGAGGAAATAAAGCTCGGACAGAGGGAGTCACATGCCCAAGGTCACACGGGGGATGGGCAGCAGTCGGGACCCAGCTGCGCCCCTGGGGCAAGATCTTCCCTCAAGGCTGAGCCTGAGGCCCCAGGAGACCCCCACCAGCTAATCACTCCTAAAGGGACCAGGCGGACCCGGGGTTGCTCTGCGAGAGGGAACAAACCCTGCATGGGGGCCGGGGGACCAGGTCTGAGTGGGCTTGGGGCCCTGGGAAGGGCCCACCAGGCCCAGCACGGCCGTCCCCACTGCTCTGCAGCGCAGCTGGGAGCACAGTGAGCTCCACGTTACGAGCTGGGAATTAAACACGACCCGTCTTCCAGCGAGGCTGTCTCCAGCGCAGGCCCCAACAAGACCGGGCACTTCAGGAATTTATGACGGCTCCCCCCTCCTGGAAACTCTCGGCCCAGGCCAGGCCTGCAGCAATGAGCAGGGAGGAGGGACGCGCACGGGACCCTGAGCAGGCTGTGCCTTTGTTTTACAGAGAAGAGAAGGGACGGATCCCCCGAGGCCACGGTTGGGGGAATGGGGGAGAGGGCAGGCCCCAGAGCCCCTCCCGCAGCCCCCCACCGGCCCAGCAGTCCTGGGGCTCACCGATGCTTCTTTTCCTCCGAATGGGCACAGGCCGCTTCTCCAGTGCATGCTTGGCGCCACGGCCCCCGTGGGCTCTCAGGCTGGTCTCCAAAGGCTCCTCGGCCCCTGCAGGTAGAAACAGGAGATAGCGACCGGCCGCCCACACCTGGGCACCCAGGGTCTGTCCAGCAGCACGTCCCTCCCCAGACCAGACGGGGTCCCTCCACACCCACAAGGGGGGCTTCAAGATGTGCACAGGACGAGACTCCCAACTGCTAGCAATGTCCCACCCAGCCCCGCGCAGCTGACACGAGGTCCCCAACACACGTCACCACGAAGCCGAAGCCGCAGGCCAGTGGGGAAGGGGCTGCAGCCGGCCTGCCCCACGGCTCCTCCTCAAGGAAGCGCAGGTGAGGGCTGAACCAGGTAAGGAGGCACCCGAGGCCAGCCCTCCCTGCCCAGGAGACCAGAGCCGACAGGCCTGCTGCTGCCAGCTGGACAGGGGACCTTGGACAGCGGGCTGGACAGCGGGCTAGACCGAGGACCAGCAGGGGCTGCTGCCGCGACCTGTGCACTGCACGTGTCTCCTCCCCCACTGCCCTCACTTAAACCAACCCTCGATGAGCATCCTGGCCTTCGAGGGGCGTCGGAAGCAAGGCCAGACTGGGCCTCAGCCAGACCCCACTGGTCCCTGAACTTAGCCCACTGCGAGGAGGAGGAGGACACGAGAACCGGGAGTGGGGAGTCAGGACTCTGGGTGCCTGTCGGGGGGACACAGCTTTCAGGAAGGAAAGTGCTTTGCCATCCAAGTATCTAAGGCCTGCAGAGCAGCGGCCTCAGAGCCAAGGTCACAGCTGGGCCTAGTCCTCCGGACTGGCTACAGTCCCCTCGGTACGCACACCACCACCCTCTCTGTCCCCAAGGCCCCCAGAAAGGGGGTGCAAGAGACACAGTCCTGCCACCTGCCATCTGGCCTGACCCAGCCCAAGGACAGCGCCTGCACCTGGATGAAGTGGGTCCCACTTGACCTCCCCACCCTGGCCTCCAGACCCACTGGGGGATCTTCCCACTTCTCCTTTCTGTCACTGCCTCCCCCATAGATACCCAGGGGCAACAGGTCCCGAGAAGGCACACCCCAATAGTCAGCAGCTGCACAAAGGTTCCCCCTCTTGCCACCCCCCCACCCCAAGAAGCTCCAGTGGTATCCTGGCCACCAGCTCAGACCAGAGGCCCCCTCCTCGGTGCCCGGCCCACCTAGGCCTTGGAGACTGTCCACACACCCACAAGTCCGGAACCTGCACTCATCGGAAACGGAGCGCAAACGGGGCATACGCGGTGGGAATGCAGAAGACACGCCTGCCTTGAATGCCGGCGTCCGGGAGAACCCAGCTCTTCCCTCAAAATGACTCAATGTTCCACTGCCACTAATTTTTTTTGAGACCCAAAATAAGATCAGAACAGAACTACTCATGCAGTAAGAATTTCCCATCAACCAACTGTTACAAGAAACATTTTTTCATGAAAAAGTGACATTATGAGTCATGTCCTGGTGGTGGCCATCTTGCCATCGCCAAACCCAGAAGCAGCTGGTCCATCCTGAGCTTCTAAGAGAAAATGGAACGGCAGCAACCCGGGCTGCACCCCCGCGCCTCACTCTAGCCAGGCGACAGCCGCCTCCTGGGATGTCCAAGCACCCCGTGTGCAGTAGGTGCTGCCACTTCTTCACCGCGGAGGAAACTGAGGCCTGAGACGTGGAAGGACAAGCAAGGCCAGTGGCCGGCAGGAGACCCCGCGGGCCCGTGGCCAGACCCAGACCGCCTTCCGCCCAGGCCTCTCGCCCCCCAAAATGAGCAGAGAAGACACAGCCTCCTCCCAGTCCATCGACTGTCCTGAAACCTGAACCAGGGACTCGATCTCAGTCAGGAGTAGAAAGAGCTCCCGGTCAGACAAGCTCAGCCACTGCCCCATCGAGATGGGTGGTCTGGAAGCCCAGCTCGGACCCGCTGACGCGGAGGCAGCCCTCTGATTTACGCAGGTCGAGATGCAACTAGTGGGGACTCCCAAGAGAAGGCCACGCGTGAATCATGCCCTAAAACTGCTCTCAGAACAGTTAATCAACGGCTTTCCCTTTTGTCTGTTATGCACACATGTCCAAAGGATGGGGAGCCGTCCTCCAGCCATCAGTCCTGGAGGAGCGTTAATGGCCGAGACGGGATATTTATGTATCGGTTACTCAATGACCACGGGCGCTGGGCCAGGCTGCTCAGAGAACAAAGCTCCCAGCTCCCGCCACAGCTCCGCTGAATGGCCTGCTCTCAGCACACCCGACACACAGGCCACAAACTTCACGCTACTGGCCATTAGAAGACCACATGCTGGTCTCTCCACCCAAAGGCCACACGTGAAAAACCAACTGCCCGGTCCTCGTGCACGCTTGCAACTCGCAGGCGCTGGCACAGGAATCCACCGCCTCGGGGCCTCCAGCGCAGCTCCTCACCTGTAAAATGGGAACAAGGTCCGGCTACAGGGAGGAGGCCACGCCCCCACCTGCCAATCATACAGCCCCGCCCACTTGGGAGGAGCCACTCTGTTAAAGGAGCCTCTTTCCTGCTTCCTGGGCATCAGCCTGAAAGAGACCCCTTCAGAGTTACAAAGAAGAGTAAGGACACCCAGAACAACGGGTCTCCTCCGCACCTAGCCCCCTCCTCACTGACCCCAGACCGGCCTCTGACCGGACCTGGTGGGGAGTCCTGGGCCTGGAGGGCAGCTTAATCCTCCAAGAAATGACCCCACAGCTGTTTGCAACCTTTCTTTCCTAGCAGCCAGCTCCGTTTCTACTCTTCACGTTGAACGGAAACAGAAGTCGGGGAAGAGACACCCCCCCGACAACCCCGCAAAACAAGCTATAGAAGCAAACAGCTCAGGTCAGAGCTTCCATATCTGTGAAAGGGGGACTGACCAGGATGAAGGAGACCCACTTTGGGGTTTGTATCACAAAGGGTCCCAGAGGGGCATGGCTGCTGAGCAAGGGAGACCCTGAGGCCCCTCCAATGTTCTCACCCCCAAAGTTTCCCAGGCACTAGGAGTCCCACTCTCAGACCCCAGATCTTCTGACGGGGTGGGGGGGGGAGGTGATCCACTCTCTCCACCCCCTGGGGCAGGAGGGAGCCGGGCTCCCGGGGGCTTTTATAAGGGGGCAATTTGAAACCAGCCCGGAGAACCGGCTGGTGCACCCTTACTTTTTCTGTTTGGACCCTCCAAGGAGGCGGTGGACCCAGAAGCCCCCAGGTCAGGAACGCTATCAGCGTGACCCCAGAGCTGCAATGCTAAAAGCATTCATGGGTGGGGGGTGGGGGAGAGGCGTGGCTGCGGTGACCAGAATAAGAATGGCCCCAGCAGAAAGTGAATGGCCCATTTCCCAATGGCAACCCAAAGCTGGTCCTGCAAGGAGGCCCAGCCTTTCCCAGGCCTCTCTTCTGCCAGCCAGAAAAAAACCTCTCTGGGAGCCAGTCTCCCCACTTTCCCCAGTCCATCAGGGAGCAGCAGAACGCAGGCAAGTGTTTTCCTCGGCTTACCAAAGCCAAATCCTTCCCCCCAGGGTTACACATCAAGGAGCCCAGATCAAAATCCCCCCCTGGCCCAACTCTGATCTCCAAGTGAAATTCTACCCCCTTCCTGATAAGGATCACCCAAAGGATTTCCTGGGTCAAGAAACTACAGAAACCATCGCCCTCGCTGGAAAATGGTTTTGGCATGAAATGAAAATAGTTCAGGCCTCTCCACCACCATAATTAGGTACAAATTTCCAAATGACTAGACCATGTGATTTTACTTAATTCCCCCGCCGCCCCCCTTTTTCAGAGTAGTTTGCAGTGAGAGAAAAATCTTCATTTCACGTAAAATTCTTCCAACCGACTCCTACTGGCTTCAGCGGCTCCATCTGACAAGTTCATTGGGGAACTCTTTTAATCCCGTCAACAGTAAGCTCTCCGATTTGAGCATCTCCCCAGCTAACTCACACTGGAGCTCCTGCCACAAAAACGTGGGCCAGAATCCTTGTCCTCTAGGAAGGGCCTCCCTCTGGTCCACACCCAAGTGCTACCACCCAACATCATCGGGCTCCCGGCCCAGCCAACCTGGGCCCCTCACCACCTTTGCCCACCTGGGGCCAGTACCCTGCCACTGCCACTCAAAAGAGCTTCAGGGTCCTCTTGTCGAAGAAACTGTTTTGTAAAGTGGCTCAGCTCCAGAGTCTGAGGGGGAGCCCCAAAATAGTCCCCAAACAGCAGATGTGTCCAAGGCGCGCCTTTTTATTGGCTCATGAAAACAGAAAGACAAGGGCCTCCTACAACCACAAAGGCCCAGCCCCACGTCAGGAGCGGGGCAAGTTCGCGGGGATGACAAAGGGGCCCAGCCGGGGGACACCGGTGCACGCCTACCCGACCGGCGCCCGGGGCCTGGGCCGCACACCTGGCCGGGGCGCCGGCGCCCTCTATGCGGCTGAACTTTCTGTGACACACTGGGCATTTTCCTTAAGTGCAAAAACAATCCCTGGGCGAGCGAGCAGCCCTCGGCCGCCGCCGGGAGAGAAAGTGGTGATTGGAAGAGAAACTCCTGACTCATCCGCCTGGGCTTTTATGGCCCGGGATTGGATTCTGACCTTTCGGTGCGCTCCTGCTCGGCGCCCGGCCCGGCCCGGACGCGGGAGGCGGCGCGGGGCGCACATACCGCCTGCCCGCCTGCCCGCCGCCCGCGCCCTCCCAGCGCGCCGAGGGAAGGGGCGCGATTTACCTACGGAGTCTATCTCCAGGAGTCGCTGGAGGTCCCGGATGCTGTGTATCTGACTGTGCGCCAGCCTCTCAATGACCTCGCGGGGGATCTCGGCTTCCTGCAAGCAGAGCAACACGGTCAGCGCCCGGGCCGCCCAGAGCGCCTGGTCCCCGGACCGAGGTTGCCCCGCCCCAGCGCGCGCGGGCGCCTCGCACGCAGGCCGCCCGACCCCCAGCCCGGGCCCTGGAGCCTGAGGCCGGGGTGGGGCTGGGTGAGACCCCCATTTCTCCGTCCCCAGCCATGTCTGCCCTTTGCAAAAAGAAAGCGCTCCCCACCATTAAATTAAAAAAAAAAAACACTCGGCCCCTCCGCCCCGGGGTGTCGGTTACAAGAGGTCTGGGGCAGAGAGGGGCCCAGGGAGTTGCTGATCTAACAGTGAAATCAACATCTAGGAAGATCAAGTTGAAATGCGTCACGGATGGGCGACGAAAGTCACGGCAGCCCTAACACTTTAATCCACCCTGGGGCTTAAATTTCACACCCAGAATCCCGGGCCGAACCTGCGGGGGAGAGGGTCTCTCGTCTGCACACACGCGCACGCACACACACACACACTCGCCCCACCCCGGGCTCCGGCCCAGCCGCGGCCCTAGCGCCGACTAAGACGCCCCAAATCCAGCCGCGGCTGGGAGGGGCTGCCAGGGAACTTAAGGGTTAATATCTACCTCTCACAGCTCCGGGTCCCAGCCCAGACCACCCCCACCACTCGGCCTCCCCACCCCCCCACCCCACCCCCCGCCAACCCCGCTCCTTCCTGCTTTTTAAAGGGAGTCGCGGGTAGCTGGGGGGTCTCAAGCACTAAGTTCCCACGACGGGGCGTAGAAAGTCATTCATCACAGCAGAGCTCCCGGGGATTCGGAATTCGAGATTGGGGGCTGAGGGTGGGGACGCGGGCGGTGGGAGGGCGAGGGCGCCTGGCCCGGCCCCGGCTCGCCTCGCTAAGCCACCTGTAAGCAGGCCCCGGGCGGGCGGGACTGCGCTGGCCCAGCCGCCCCTCCGGGCATGGGGACCGGGAACCTGGGTCTGCGGCTCCGCGCTGCCCACCCTGCCTGCCGGGGGCTCCCGCCGCAACCGCCCCTACCTGTCTGTCGGCGGCTCTTCTACCTTCCCTGACTCCGCTGGCTCACACACACACCCCCTTCTGCGCTCCCCGCACCCCGATGCTGCATTGTCCGCCGCGCCCCGGGTTTCCCTCCTCGGAAAGGAGCCCGCGCCCCCCGAAGTTTCTCCCCACTCGTCCATCCAGCCGCCACTCCGTCCCTCCACGGCAGAGCGACGCAACACGCTGGAAACTCACCAGACACACTTAGGCATGGCAGAAAATAGAACCCAGTTGGGAAAATTTAAAAATCGACCACGCTAGCAGAAATCAAAATGCGCTCTGCAGAGCCCCAGAGCCCGGGCTCCTCGGCCCGCGAGCGGCCGCAGGGGGCGTGCGCAGGGGGAGTCGGAGAGAGGACGGGGCGCGGGGGTGGCACCCACCTCGGCCAGGGCACTGGCGAGGTATCCGCAGCCGAGGAGCAGCAAACAAGCCCAGGTCCTCATCGCGTCCCGAGGCGCTGGCGGCTCGGCGGGGTGGCGAGGCCGCGGGGCGGGCGCTCCAGCCGGGCTCCTGTGGCGGCGAGATTCAGTACCATCCCTCAGGGAGCGCGGCCCGGAGGAGGGTGGCGCGGAGAGCAGGGAGCCGACGGAGCGCGCCAGGCGCGAGCAGCGAGTGCGGAGAGGCAGGCAGCGCCACCGAGGAGGAGGAGCAGGGAGTGCGCGCTCGCCGCGCCCGCCGCGCCGGGAGCCTCCTGGGCCGCCGGGTAGGGGGTGGGGACGGAAGGGGCGGAGGGCGGGGGCTGGGCCTCTTCCTTGGTGCGTTCCCGGTGCTGGCCGCCGCCGCGCTCGCTCCCCGGCGCTGGCTCTAGGAGCGACCAGGCCGGTAATTCTGCATATTTGCGGGCGTCAGCCCCGAAAGGGACCCCGGAACGAGGCTGGAGCCGCTGCCGCCGCACCACCCATCACCTGTCTGGACACCCGGCCAGGCCCGGCGCGGGCTCGCGCTCTCCCTGCGGGCTGCGGGCGGCCCTGCGCGCCCGCCGCCGGCCCCGCGCTCGCCTCCGGCCTCCTCTAGTCGCCGCCGCCCGGCCGGGCACGGCGCGGCCCCACGGCGCGGCCCGGCGGCCTGCGTGCGCCCCTCAGCGGCGCGCCCTCGGCTCCGGCGCCGCGCTCCGCCCTCCGCCGGCCCGAGCCGGGCAGAGCCCGCGGCCGCTCCGCCTGGCAGCCGCCGCCCGCCCGGGGCCTCGCCGCGCGGGCCTGAGGGCGGGCGCAGGGCCGAGCCGCCGCCGCCGCCGCCGCCGCCGCCGCCGGCAGGAGAGGAGGAGGGGCGCGGGGAGGCCCGGCTCGCCGGAGTTGTGCGGGCTCCGCAGGGCGCGCGTGTGGAGCCGGCCGGCGGCGGGGAGGGGGTTATAGCGCCGCCGCCGCCGCGCCCCTCCCCCGCCCCCTCCCCCTCGCCTCCCCCGGATTCCGGGCCCACGACCCGCACCTCGGAAGCGTGCGGGGGACGCACGGGCCGGGCAGGGCCCGGGCCGCCGCCGCCGCCGCAGTGAGCACACACACGCGCTCACGCAGGCAGTAAAATCCATCAAGGCCCCGCTCCCGGCCCCGAGCACTGCCGCCGGGGCTCCCCGCGCACCCCTCCCTCGAGCTTGCCCACCCTCCAGTGCCAGCTGCAATCCTGCAGCACCGGACGGGGAGGGGAGGAGGCCGCCGCAGAAGTGCCGCCGTCGCCGGCTCGCCTCTCTCGGGCCCCAGCGGCGGCAGAGGGCAGCGCCCAGAACTGCTACGCCAAAAAGGGCAAAAGCGAGCCGGCCCCCGCCTCCCGCCCCCCGCCCCGGCGCTCCGGCTTCTTTCCACGGTTTGGATCATGGGCCCCTGCCTCCCCCTCTCCATAAAAGGAGGGGGAGTGAGTCTCTAGTGAGAGGTGGGGCGGGTTTAGGGGTGCGTCTGGGGCACTCACCTGGCGGCTGCCACGCGCCCCCGCCCAGAATCCGATGACTGGGGCGTCTGACTGAGGAGCCTCCACCCACAGTCCACGAGGGGAGAGCGCCCAGGTCGGAGGAGGGGGCTGCAGCGTGCCTCGTCCCCACCCTGGGACCCCTCATCCTCCAAGTCCCCGCTGCCTCGTGGAAAGCCGGGCGGCGGCCTGAGCCGGGAACTCGAGGGGTTGGAAGGCAAGGAAAAGAAAAGAGCCGCTCATGAGGCACCCGGGAGTCTGAGCCTCCCGCGCCGGGATCCGCTGGGCGCACAGAGCGCCACCTCCGGCCGCGGCGCCGCACAGAGCGATGCGGGGGAGAGACGCGAGGGAGGCCGAGGCCTGAACTGGGCCAGACGGCTCCCCCGCCACCAAAGGGCGATGCGCCGGGCTGGGTAGATTCCGCCTGCCTAGACCTGGCGGAATCGCACCCCGGCGGCGGGTCCCTCGAGGGGGCGGACAAGCCCCTGTATCGGCTAGAGGGGTGACGTGCCAAGCGACCCCGAACCTAGACGGCGAGGCCGTTAGAGGCGAGGAGACTGCGGAGCGGTGGGCGGCCGAAGGAGAATTCCGCCTGCCCTAGCCCTCCACCCCCACGCCCCCATCCTGTGGATTAGGCCCTTGCCCGCCGCGGCCGCCCTCCCGCCAAAGGCAGTAAAGGCGCAGCCCCGCAGGCGGTCTTTCATCCTCGGCTCCGTCGGCTCTGGCATTTCAAAGGCGGAGTCCAGTGGGCGCTTGGGGGGCCTTCCCCCAAATTCCTGGGGGGAGGGGTGGGCCCCTCCTGCGATTACCAATGGGCCGGGGCTACCAGCGCTCTTCCACTGGCCTCCACACACCTGCAGCCCGCCAACGCACCTGCCTCGTCTACCGTAGCCCCACCTGCGACCTCCCCCCTCAAGCGCGCTTTCAGGGGTCAGGATGAAGGATGACCGAGGCAGAACTAGGGAAACCTTGGAATCGTTTAAAAGCACGTTTGAGCCAGCCCTTGTCCACCCAGGTGGACCTCCATTGCTTCGGAGGGAGACCACTGGACGGTTTCTGGACGGCCGCCAAAAGCACACTGCCAGTACTCAGGCTGCACCCCGAGCAGAGCCCTCCGTGGCTCACTCATCCTGATTGCTGACTGCAGCACGTCTGGTTGAGCCTCGGATTCCTCGCAGGCAGAGGGGACCCGAGGACACTTCTTTGGGGTGAAAGGACTCGGTTTGATAGTGGGTGTGGTAATGAAAGAGGAAAGGTCACCTTGTATTGCAGGGGGGGTGGGGGCAGGGGCCCTTCCGGCTCTAACCTCTGTACAGAGGCTCGCTGGTTCCTGGGTGTCCCGCCACCTTTGAGCAAACCTCGAAGGGTGATTCCCTCTGTGCCCCATCCCGGCCTGGCAATTCAGGGGCTCTCGGTTCGAGTTTGGGGCGGAGGGGAGGAGATCTGGGAACGCGGAAACGGGGGTGGGGGGCGCCTTCTACGGGAGCGCCAACCAAAGCTAGGCGGGGAGAGGGGCAGGCCTGGGTGCATCCACCACCGGGACTGGAGATCTGCGGGGGGGCGGCGCAGGCATCCTTCTAATCGCTGGCCGCTATTAAAAATAAAACCGCGGCGCGTCGTCATAGCGACCACGACAACAGCGGCTGCGCGAGGGTGGCACAAACTTGTGCAGCCGCGCGACAGCCGTTTTGGGGGGAGACTCGGGGCACGACGCGCGTTGGCGCACCAAGGCCTGCCCTGGGGTGGGACAGGGACCCCCAACCCAGCCCGCCCCACCCTCCCCCCGGATCCTCAGAAGAAACTGGCAGAAATAGATCCCTAGAAGCTGTTTCCTAGACCTTGGACTGTCTTGACCAAGAGGTCACCAACTTGGATGAGAACCCACGCACGCGTGGACTTCCCAGCCCTGGCACCTCTCCCCGACACCCCTCCCCGTTTCAGACTCCGGCGTCCTCATCTCTGGAGAAGGGGGCTAAGTGGGAAGGCGGTTTCGGATGCTCGGCGGGAGAGGGGACCTCACTCCGGAGGCCGGGCGCGTGGGGGCTCCAGCACCTGCCCCTGTCGGCGATCCTTGCAGCTCAGGCGCGGTCACATGCTGCTTTCTATCCGGGAATCGAGTTTCACTTCCAGCCGCTATTAGGCGGTTCGCACGGTTCACTGCAAACATTTGATAAAGAGGCTAAATATACATTGGAGTCGGAGGAGGCGTGGGCGGCTGTGGTGAGCGCGTGGGCGCGGCGCTGCAGGCTCCGCGGGGCATCCCCGCCCAGGGCGGGAGGCCGGCTCGGACCGCCGGCCAGTTCCCCGCCCCGCGTGCGCCCCCTCCCCGCCCCCGCCACACACACACACACACACACACACACACACAATTCGGACCCCAGACCCGGGACACGTGACCCGGGCAGGCTGCGGGCGCCCCCAGGCCAGCCAGAGGGCCCCTGGCGGAAGAAGGGGGCGCTGCGGGGAGCTCCGCGGGTCGGGGTGGGGAGGTGCCGGTGGGCGGTGAAGGCGCACCTGGCTGCCCGGGATGTCCGGTCGCCCCCGGAGCCGGTGCTTCCGGACTATCTCGGGCGTCCCCGGCGCGCCCCGACGTGCCGCGGACCTATAATTAAGGTGAGTCAGGTGCTCCGAATAGGAGCAAAGGGGGGCTCCCGGCGCAGCTGGGGTAACTGTCTGGCCGTCTGCCCCTCGCTGGGTTCCCTCCGGCACCGCCCATGGCCCCCGCACCCTGGGAGGAGAGGGAAGGGCCTTGGCCGTTCCTTAGAGGTGGTGGGCGGGGGGCTTCAGTAAGGACCTGTCAGCCAGCCCAGCACTTGGTGGTGCGCAGCCAGCATTTCACCCTACAAGCCCCCCTCACCCCACTCCTGCTCTGCCCTGTGCAGTGCCTGCCTGGGACCTGGCACCAGTCGGCGCTCCATTATTACTCTCATCATTTTTTCACAGTGGGAGTCATGACTAATATGTACTGGGCACCTCGGTCCCTGAGTGACCCCTGAGAGTGGAGAGCTGCCCCACCTCCCATTTGACAGATACCAGGAAGTCAGGCATCTGCCCACAGCCGCAGAACGCTGTCTGAGGTGGTCGCTCCTGGGCCGTGGCTGCTCAGGACGGGCTCTCCCTGTGCTCCAGAGGAGACCCTCAGGCCGGCTTGTCCTGCACTTCTCAGACAGGCATGCCGGATGATGTGGCCACCTGACAGTGAAGGCATCAGGACTGGAGCCCACGTCCACCTGATCCCCAGTCCCAAGGTGCTCTAGCTGCCCTCTGCCCCTTGACCTTGGCCTTGAGGTGGTTTGTCCCTGCACTGCCTTGAGTCTGTTCTCTCATCTGAAAAGTGGGGGCCGATAACCTTACCATGCCCGGCTGCCCCCCGCCATTGAGCCTCCTGCCCACGAAGACAGCAGCCTTGTGCACACGTGCAGGGCCCGGTGCCCTGAGGCAAGGGCACAGCCGCCCAGCTGCTTTCGTCTGGGTGGTGCAGGTGGGGGCCAGCGGGGCGTTCAGACCCAGGCCTCTGCCGGGTGCCAGAGCAGATTTCAGAGCAATTTGTAATGACGAAACAGCACATTTCCCTTTATCTCTGGGCAAGGATTTCTTGGTTCAGGGCACTTAATCCAGGAGCAGCCTCAGCTGAGTGGGCACCGCTCCTTGAAGATCAAAAGTGCCGGGCGGGTGTTAATTAAGTCGTCATCTCAGGCCACCCCAGGCCCCGGCTTGGGATCAGGCCTTTCCAGTCCAGCCTCCCCAGAAAGGGAGAATAGGCAGCCAGCAGCCCGGGAGGGCATTCTCAATGCTGATTTTAACTCTCTATTAAACATTTTTATTTTCCTTTTTCAATACACAGACAGCAATGAAGTTTTAAATAGCACATGAGCCCACAGTCGTTTTGTGGCTATTTTGTGAATAAAGACCTAAGGGAAGGAGCACTGGGGGAGCTTCAGGAACTGACGTCAGATCTGGACTGTCCAGGACAGGAGCCACTAGCCACGCAAGGCCATCGGGC